GAAAAAAATAAGACTTTCCTATCACAAAGGACCTAGGGCACCGACACATGCTTTCGTCGCGTAAAGAAAGTTTATTTGTAAATTCAGCTTACCAATTGTTTTTTTTCCAATTGCATTGAACTCTTGTATTAAAGTAAATTCAATCCCAAAAATGTTTCACAGTCAGACAACCGTATACGGGCAACTCTATAAAGACTAGAAGAAAACAAGATTTATACTTTTGAAACGCCTAAAGTTACGATTCTGAACATATAAACTACAAAAAATTGCTCTTAGTACTCACGTTTTTCTCATTTCGGTTATTCCTTTGCAGTAGAACATTTAAAGTACACATTTAATTACCAATGTATGCGCTTCCTAAAATAAATTTTTCTAAAAAAGTCTTTCAACACTACTTTTTCGGAGACAACTATTATTCTCGTATACAACTTGAGGATATTGACCTATACAATATGATTATGAACATTAATTGTGCATATTACCTGAAAATGATGTACAGTGTTTTGCTTAAAAGAACTCTATTCTTCTACAGTTTTCACATATAATACAATTAGCAGCCTAGCATTCCTTGAAACTGCTCAATTCCATTTTTTTTATCGTGACACGCAGCTAAAAGGTCCTATTTTCGAAGCAGAATAACCTACCCATTACTCTTAATATAGTAAGACATATCGACATGGCATCTGACATCTAAAACTTAAGCTGTCCCTGATATAATTACGCAATGTTGGAGAATCCTGTAAGTGACTTTTCCAAACCATAATACGTAAATTCTCTGGAAGGTATGAATAAGCCTAAGTAAAGCAACGTGTATTGCTCAGGAGCTCATGGACAATGGGGAAGAATGGGCTAGAGAATCACTCAAATGGGCGAACGTTATAGTTGGTAAATGAAGATTATTTGGGCGTTTTGAAGATGTCCACCTATATATATGACCAAATAGTAACCCGTTATCACGCTAACGGTAGCGCTTGTTTATATTTAAGCTATTAGTATTTTTATGCCAAAGCATAAGAAATATGCATAGCTTCTACAGTCTTTCTACTAAGCAACACACTTCAGCGAACAGATTTTCAAGCAAATTAAATTTGAATCCTCTGCATAAGATCGTTTTTAAATACTCACATAGTCTTTTTTCCATTTATATTACGACTACCAACCGAATAAAACATTTTGCGATCACTTAGCAGTCTTGCATTCTGATCCTGTAGCGTATTTCACATCTACTTCCACATTTTGTCCCTGCAGCAACTTTAATGCATTAACGCTTTTTTCAATATCTAAAAGCAATATGTTTCCTCTCCAAGGTCCACTTGATGCCCGTTCTCATCCGAGTAAATAATGGCTGCCAATTTGAAAGCAGGTCTGCTTAACAAGTAGGCTTGTCCATACTGCCACGAGAGGCATTGTCCACCCTCGTGCTCCCCAGCGACTTTATCGTGTTATGTTGACAAGGTCTCAATTTAAACTGATTGCTTTCTTGGCACTTTAGTTTGCAGGTTATCATAAACTTGGAGGTGGATGATAACACCAAGCGATGTAGTCCGATTATATTTCTTCCGTTTTGCATCGTAAAAAGGATATTTTATTGCTATTTCTGTGTCAAAACCTCATTGCTCTCGATGTTCACGAAAGTAAAATGCAATTCTTGGCGCAAAATGTTGATTAGTTTAGCTGGATGTCCAATCACTCGAAAATTTGCAAGTAGTCCTTAGGTACTATTTTAGAAATCGGTGAAGACATTGGTACATTATTCGTCTGCTCATATTTTATTTTGTCAGGCGTGAAGCAAGTTTTGTGAAAATGCCTGAGCAGTTAAAAGGGTCTGACGCGTCCGAGTTAGTTTCAAGGTTTTTATTAGTTGCTTCCGAGAAGTAGTCTGATATTTTTGGATAATAGGTGATGGAAAATATAAGAAAAAGGGAGCGTGCTAATAACACGAAATCTTTTGAGATTCCCAAATGTTTTTTCATTAAAAAAATTGCTCTTCTTGAATATGCAGCCCCACGTGTGAGACAATGAGTCAGCCACGTTGCCTTCAATGAAGTCTTTAGCTATAAGGTGTAGCAGAAGGGCAAGCCGCTGATGCAATATATTAAGGCAATAACACTGTGTATGTCTGTAGCATGACGTGTATGCATCCATATAGGGCAAAAGTCTGGCGATCATGTAGTAAATGATGACCTCCCGATGATATTCGGTTGAGGTAAGACTGACGACAACCGATAAACCATAATCGATTACTCTAGCCACCCCTAGCTTTGATGGTTGTGTTTCTCAATTCATTTCCTATATTTCTTTTCCAGTCATTTTTTTCATTGCACATACAAGTATTGGAGGATTTTTCCTATCAAAAGTGAAGAACTTGCCAATATTTGATAACGGCGAGGTTGCCATTGTGATATTTGACACTGGAAACGTGATCACCTATGATTCACTGCGTCTCTGGAAACGGGTGCTGGAAGAAGAGCCGAATCTAGGAGCAGCTGGACAGAGCGTTTTCCTCATGACAGGACTACCGTCGAGCTATGGCTTTGACATGAGATCGGAGGTGTTGAACTCTGTAGGTTTGCGTGGCTGACTCTATCGGTAGTCGTCCATTGCCGATGGATCGCTACATTGTAATATATTAGTTGCGTCATTTGATGCATAGGTGCTGGTCAGCAGTGCATATTCGATAGAATTATCAATTCACCGTATAGTATCATCGCTATCTAGCTGTCCAGTCGGCATTAAAAAGAGTGTTCGACTAATAAGCAAAGCATAAATGCACATCAATATGTAACACAGTTGTGTATTTAAGAACCGACGGTGGTTTAATTAAGTCTTTGTACTATGAAGTATATATCTCAAATATTATACTTGTTAAAACGATTTCCAAAATTACGAATTAACTCTGACCACAGACATCATAACGTGATGAATCTATTGGCGTTGACATTGGCAGTAAACTATTTTTTCATCAACAGATGGAAAAGGGGATTTTCATACCGAAAGTATTGGAAAAAGAACGGCATGGCGAAAACAACATTCAGCGGCTATAAATCTAATTCAGGATAAGAAAAAGATATTTATAATAGTTATAATAATTATTGTTATATGAAAAAGAAGAGAAAACATTAATGGAGGATGAATTTACTTAATTTACAATGCCAGTTTTTATTTTGTATCCAGTTTAACATTTTTCGTGGTTAATGATAGACTGTAGTGGCAGCAAACGTATGTTGAAAAGCCGCGAACAATAAGTCCAATTTTTGGGGCTGTCCTTTAGTGTGAACAGGTGTGCACACGTCTCCTGAGGCAATACATGCTATACTCTCGGCTCCCTTTTATTGTTGCTTTCAAACTACTTATTGCTGGCCAAGTCGGCTTTATGT